TGTTATTCATGCTCCTGCAATACATCAATCATCTGCACAAAGCAACTGGTCCTGGTATTTACAGTTAAGAAATACTAATACACTTAACTGTTCTTTGTTGTAAAAAAAAAACCCTTCACAAAAATGCCTGTCCCAAGCTCTAGGCATGTTTAGCTTAAGCAGCTTAGAGGTCTTTATATCAATCTGCCGCATGCGCAGAGTTTGGGGGCAAAGCTCTCATTACTCCTCATGCACAGAAGGAATGCAGGGAAGAAGTATGAGAAAAGAGCTAGAGAACTTTGAGAAAGGGATTAGGTTTTAAGGAAATTAAACTCCTACAACACTTTTTATAGTTAAATAGATGGCACTTACATACTCGTAATTCATTTCAATCTGCTTCTATTTTATTGGGGAAATTGGCTTGACTGCTTGAGGGATGACTTTCACTTTGACATAAGTAATTTTCTTGTTCAAACTATCAAATACTGTTTCTGTGCTTATGGCACACTTTCACATGGATGTCAGCCCCCAGCTGGGGTGATGGGACTACTCTCCCAGTGGCTCACTTCTTATCCAACTGAATGCAGAGGACAATGATAGAGGATTATGTATAAACCCCAAGAATTCTAATCTGTCACTGTTAAAACTTTATATGAAGCTCCTATGAGAAATCAATTATGATTTTGAGGTGAAGATTTATGGCATGTCACTGTAATCCAATGCTGTTTTTTTTTTTATTGCTAGCAAATCAGTCTCTAGACACTCGAGTCTAGTAACTGTCTACTGACAGAGTCCACTGGAGTTGGGCAGCCAATATGTTCATGTTTAATTTGTAGTCTTCCAGAACTCCTAAATCATTCTCACAAGTACTACAGCCAAACCAGGTAAAATGTATTTTGTTTCTGTACATTTGATTCTTCCTACCCAAACACAGATGCCTACATTTTCCAACTGAACTGCACTGTATTGGATAAGGTCCAATAATGAGCCGAGGTGGCGCAGCAGTTAGAGTGCAGTACTGCAGGCCACTTTAGCTGACTGTGTTCAGCAGGTCAGCGGTTCAAATCTCACCAGCTCAAGGTTGACTCAGCCTTCCATCCTTCCGAGGTAGGTAAAATGAGGACCCAGATTGTTGGGGGCAATGTAAATATATATATATATATATATATATATATATATATATATATATATATATATATATATATATATATATATATATATATATACATTGCTTAGTGGTGTATACCGCTTAGAGAGTGCTTGCACTTAAAGCGGTATATAAGTCTCATAAATAAATAAATTCAAGATCATTTTGAAGAGAGTCGTTTTTAGGCACTAGTATCTCTGCTCAGCTTTCAGTAATCTGCAAATTTGATGAGCATCCATTCTATACCTCATCTAAATAATTTAGGAAATTGTTGAAGAATGCTAAATCCAAGACACAGGATTTCTGCTTCCATGTAGACACAGAATTATTAAGAACATGTGCTGGATACAGTTGTTCCATTAGCTGTGAATCCATGATAGTGGGACCATCAGCTCTGATAAAATTGTTCCATTTTATCAAAGAGGAGACTATAGTCAACTTTGTCAAACACTTTGAAATCTAAGTTAACCACATCCAGAGTGTTCCTTTGGTCTACTGAATATAAAAGAAGAGATAGTTCAGTAAGATTTGTCTGTCATGACCTGTAACAAACCTAACAATCACTTTGTTTCTTTCAAAGTGTTTGTAAAGATTCTTTTTTTAGGATTTTCTCAGATACTTACCAGTCTGCAGTTTTGTTTTGTTTTTTGTTTTTGTTTTGTTTTGTTTTTGGGTCCGTTTTTTTTTCTTTTTTAAAGATGGAAAAACATTAGTTCTTCTCTAATCTTGATACTTCTGATTCTCAACAATTACATTCAGGGATTTTAAGATTACCAACTACTTACCAATTCTTTAGTACCCTTTGTATGCAATGTGTTCTCTCCTCAGTTCTTTACCTATGTTGACTTGAATTTCTGTTCTATCCTCTACAGTGTCACCTTTCCCAGGTGGGAACACGTTTTAATGTGAAAAAGCAAGATACATAATAGAAATTAAGCAGCACAAGCTTCTCCTTGCTGCCTGTCACCATTTCATCATATTCTCTTACCAACAGACTAATTGATATTCACTTGGATGGCAAAAGTATTACATAAACTGGCTACTGCTGCAGAGGCTATCCCAAACCAGATGATTATTCTTCAGCTGTTTTATTAGCATGTTAAATTTGAACTTCACACTTGCAAAACAGAGAAATCCATTCCAAACCATAAAAACATCATCTATTGGAAAACAGGTTTTTGAGCTAGCTCTAAATCAAAAAAAGCTGAAATTTTTCAAAACAATAAAAGCCGAACTATTAACACAGCTAAGCTATTAATCTCATTAAAGTGTTTTTCTTCTCAAGAAAATCCAATTCTGGGTGATATCCAAAAATCATCAGTGTGGAAAAACTTGGAGCAATTGGAAATCCATTTTTCATTTTATTAACTACTTTTAATAATTCCCTAACCTACTTGATGACTGCAGTAACAACTTGAAATATGGCCTGTCCCTCAAGAAGTATTTAATTTTATTAATTACAAATCACTAAATCATCATATTTTCCTCTATTTTTTGAGGCACCATTCCAAAATATGTAAGACTGGGGATATTTAAAATTCAATTAATTGAAAAAGCAGCTGAAAAAATAACATTTTTTTCTATTGTCTATGACTAAGGCAGTGTTCTTCAAATTAGTGCCCTTTAGAAGTTGAAATCTGAATACATCCAGAAGCAACCAAATTGGGAAAAGCTCATTATATAATCCAAACTCAACTCATTTAGGTGTCTTCTAGCACTGATCAGGAATATTGTTCTGCATGGAAAATGGGCCACATATAATTAAACCCTTCCATTCCCCACCATCCAGTCAGAGCTGAAGAAGCTTCTTGGATGAAAAGCGAAATGTCTTCAAAGAAAAACAAGAAAGTCCAATTGCCTCGTGAAAAAATGCATCTTTGGGTGGCTACTGGGTCCATACCGGAAGGGCCAAAATATTTCAAAATGACAACTGTGAATCTCAGTTAAAAGTTCTAAGCTTTATGTGGTAGAAGTCATTAAGCAGTCACTAAGTCAATTCCAGACAATATATTCTCTTCCCCATTTTCTTTTTAGGGCCTCTTCACTTCTATTTTTATTTTCATCAACCTGTTGTTGGCAATGGGTCCCACACACACCTTCATTTCCTTCCTGGTTTGCTTGAACTGGACCTAGCTATCAAGTAGTTTGCATGTCAGAAGAAAGACAAACCAGGTGAAGAATAGGGAAGAAGGCAGAAGGAAGATGATACTGGGAAATATGTTAAAAAGTTTGCTTAATACTAAAATGAAAAGAAGTCTTTACTGCAAGCAAATCCATAAAACCATCAGTAAATTTAATAGTTGACTACTTCAGGCTTCTAGTGTGATTTTTCAAGATGCTCCCGAGAATAATAAAATGAAAAAAGGCATTTGCAACTATAATACCATGCAAAAAACAAAAGCAATACTATAAACTATCCTAATCCACATTCAAGTATGTCTGATTGCTCAGTTACAGGATCAAAGTAAACCCATTCCTCCTGCATGGAACTAAATAAATGGGTCCTAGTGTGTTAAAGCAGACCACATAAAGTGTACCAATGAAATATAAACAAAACAAACTGAAATAGAAAGCATATGTCACAACGCACACACTTGACCCCGTTCCTGGTTATTTCCTGGTTTTGGTTTAATCCATCCCATTTTATTAGTGTCTTTGGTTATATAAACTAATACTTATACTGCATGTTGCTATGAGTTTATAAAATTAAGAACATTAGGAAGTTACAAAAAACCCTCATCTTTAACAGACACTTCTCCTTAATTTTTTATCCCTTAGTATTTCTCTGTAATTAACAAGAATGAGCAGAGAGCAAATAGGTGGTTAATTTTATAAAGTTTAAAAAAAAATCCAGTCAAATCATAATTAATTATAAAAGGCAGCAACATATAGGAACAATCTATCCCTGACCACAAATGGACTACAAAGTATGTCATCTGACTATTAAATCACATTGCATGAAAAAGCTGCCCAATTAGATCTGCAATTACACTAGGTAAGTTTCCAAATCAACAAAGCTATGAAGAGGTATAATAAGATCTATCTGGTGGGCACCATCTTGGGGAAAGTTGCTGTACACAATTACTTGGAAGCAAGTGTCACTGAATTCATGGTATTTCTGAACACATGGACATAGATTTGGGCTATAATAAGTCCTTGCAGTTTATTAACAAAATCTTGTCTTACATTACTACAGAACAAGATTCTGTGTAGGGTGTTTCAAAAGTTCATTCCTTTGTTCTACCTCTTCAGATACAGTCTATGTTTCAGCATATGTGAATTTAGAGCAGAGGTCTTCAAACTTGGTCCTTTTATGACTTGTGAATTTTAACTCCCAGAATTCCTCAACCAGGCACTCTGGCTGAGGAATTCTGGGAGTTGAAGTCCACAAGTTATAAAAGGGACAAGTCTGAGGACCCTTGATTTAGAGCAGTGGTTCTCAACCTTTTTAATGCCGCGACCCCCAACCGGTCGTAAGTCAAGGACTACTCAACTGGTGCAGCACCATTTGCAGAATGGGACTTTTGGCGGACTCAGCAGGGCAGAGACAGCCTGGACAATTCCTATTAGCTTTTGAAAGCCAATAGAATTAGACTCTATTCAAGAGAGTCTATTCTATTGGCTTTCAAAAGCCAATAGAATAAAAGGAAGTAGCACAGCTAAGGAAAAGGGGAAAAAATGGTGGACTGTGTTGTTTGGCGACCCCCGTGAAATGGTCATTCGACCCCAAATGGGGTCCCAACCCACAAGTTGAGAACCACTGATTTAGAGAAAAGGAGCCTCAGTACTTGATTTGCAAAAATAAAGGAAAACACTCAATGTCTCATAGTTAAGCAAAGCCAGCTTTAGTCAGAAAAAAAAATGTTCATTTTACCTCCTGGGCAGTGTCTCAAGGCCATTTTGCATCTTCTGGATTCTGCAATGGTGGGACATGGTATCGTGTCTTTTGCTGGCTTTTTAACAATTTGCCTTGTTCTTGTTTCCAAACCCCACTTAAATCCGCAGGTCTTGTTATTTGTGCTGCAAACTGCCCACTCGCTCCAGGGGCCCACTTGGCAACCTTCTGGAAAAACCAACACACGAATATATGACCCTAGCTAATAAAGAATTCAAGAGAAATTGAAACCTTATATATTATTTATTAATATCTGGATAGGCTTAACATGGATTGCACAGCTATCTTCTAAATCTCTCATTTATTAATTTTTAAAGAAAACAAGAAATATAGCCAAAATATAATTCAAATTATTCAGATTAACTGAAATAATTCATCTTATCATTAGTCATACTTTATGGGAATATTTTAAAGCACTAACTCAAAGTAGAGCAGAAAAATTCTAGAATTAACTTTATTGAATTATTCTGACTAATTGATTTCAAACCTTTACTTGAAACCTTGGAAAAATTTAGATGCAACTTAATGGAAATTCAAAGAAGGATATAGTTGATGCAAAGCTAATTTATATGCCACTCTTCAATTTCAAATCTTAGAAAATGAAAAATAAAATTGAACACTAAAGATCTTCAGATACTTGGGCAAACATTAAATTTCAGCCGTGCTTGCTAACTAGTCTTAGGAACTAATGCCTGTTATGTAATTTTCCAATTTTCTCAAAAACATGCAGCCAAAAAAGGCACTTAATAACCATTTTCACCAACAAAATCAGGATAGAATTCAGTTACTATAGTGAACATTCATATGGAATGTATTAACATATATGAAATACTTTAATAGCCACATCTAGATAACTTCCTAATAAAGATTTTTTTTATTATTCCTAATAAAGATTTAATATAGTTTACTGTTATCACAAATAATGTCTTAACAATAACAAAGAAGATTATTTTATAGTAATTGGTTACTTTGCAATTTAAGAAATATTTTGTTCTTTCAAGTCGATTTTGACTCCTGGAGATGATTCCCTGCAATTTTCTTGGCAGTATCTTAAATTTTGAGCCAATTTGTTATAGTAGTAAAAAGCTCCAGGCTATAAAACAGGAGATGATAAATCCTAGCTTCACCTTAGTGACAAAACCAGCTGTGTGACCTTGGCCAGTCACTTTTCCGAGCCTCAAGAAGGTGGGAATGGCAAGCCATTTCTGAAAAATACTGCCAAGAAAACTGCAGGGAATCATCGCCAGGAGTCAAAATCGACTTGAAGGAATGAAATATTTCTTAAATTGCAAAGTAACCAAACGCAGGAGTGTTCAGGAGTCTTCAGAGCATCTTTATGATTTATTTGGAGAAATGCCATCAGATTTCAAAAACAGATATTTCCCTGGGATCCATTATTCTAGATTTATTAACAGACAGATGAATTGTGTTGTTTAACTTTATTATAGCACATTAGCCATTTCCATTTAGCTTATGCACCAAGCAATAGCCAACATTTTAATACAGTGAGGTAATGGATAAACTTATAAACCTATATCAACATCCAGTTAGATTTTGGACTATTAAAAGATAATTATTTTACTTAAAAAAACATACATACATACATACATACCAACATGTTTGTCAATAATTCAAAGAATGCAGAAGAAAAGAATTGTTATTCTGATATCCTTGCCATCACTGCTTGAAGATGATCTACCAATAGCTGATGACCTTATTTGTATAGCAAACACACAACATGGCATAAAACTACTCTAGGATTATATGTAATTACTTTTATACAGGAAAAAGGAACTAGTGTGTGTATATATGTGTGGAGTTTCTCTGCTGGCAATAGAGAAGGCTGTTCTTAGACTTCTTTTCATGCTAATACTATTTTCATAGTAGAAAGCAAGCACTGACATTTTACAGATACAGGTAGTCCTTGTTTAGTGACTATCTTAGACAGCAACCATTCACAATGGTAACAGGGATGAAAAAGTAACTTCACAATCAATGCCTGCATTTACAACAACAAAAGCCTTCAGTGTAAAACTGACTAAGATCTGGTCAGTTTCAGGAAGCAGCTGAAATGCAAAAGGGTTGTAATCAACTAATTAAAGTGACACAGGGATTAGCTTGTTAAAGTTAGCACTTTTAGGGGAGCAATGCACTGTGAGAAAAGTAGCTAGGGAAAAGATATTTTGTTTTAGCAATCTCTCCATTCTGCGAGGGGATAAAAAAGAAAAAGAAAAAAATAGTCAGGCACAGAAGTTTATCTGAATGAGACAGCAGCAATCAGCAATCTTCACAGTCTCTCTCTCTCTCTCTCTCTTTCTCTCTCTCTCTCTCTCTCTCCCTTTTTCTCTCTCTCTCTGCCATATGGTTCACTTAGTGACTGTGTCACTTAGAGACCATTTCACAAAAATCAGTTATGGTCACTAAACAAGAACTCCCTGTAAATGGAAACAGATTACATATAAACAGTCTCTATAATTTTTTCAGGTGCAGAAAATAAAATAGATTCAAAAGGTTATATATAAGGTTAGGATGCAGGAGAATAGAATAGAATAGAATAGAATAGAATAGAATAGAATAGAATAGAACACTGAAGAAATTTGTCTCCTGTGCATAAGCTTACAGTGTACATATAAACAGCAATTAATAGATCACAGATCATAAATCATAGTTACAATCATTAATCATAAGTTACAAACAACAATTGATAAATCATAAGAAACCAATAGGATAGTAGGAAAGATGAGAAAAGATGAGAAGATGAGAGAGTGCTGTAAGAATTAAATATTCAGCAGAGTGATGGCACAGGGAAAAAATATCTTTGTGTCTATTTGTTTTGGCATAATATAATATAAGAAGGATAATATAGCAGAAATAATGTATAAGTACTCACCCACACATTCCATAGTTTCATCTAAATGGACAAAACCATCAGGACATTCCCCAAAGCAACGGCCTCGGTAGAGATAAAACCCAGGTTTGCATTTGGTGCAAAAGTCTCGACTAAAACAAGAATCACAGTTCTCTATTCTGCATCCTGAAGAGAAAAAATACATGCATTTGAAATTGGTAACTTCGAAACAATATAATGCAGAAGGGAGCAATATGTGAATACTTAGCTGTAGTCTCTCAAATTATAGTCATAGGACTGGTCTCAGAATCTCTAGCCAGCAAGCCCAAAGGGAATGCTGGGATTTAAGAATCCCCAAACATCTAGAACAGTGTTTTATCAAACTTGGCAACTTTAAGATGAATGGCCTTCAACTCTCAGAATTCCCTAGCCAGTATGAGAAGCTGCTGTCTTGGGAATTCTGGAAGGTGAAGTCCACTCTTCTTAAAGTTGCCAAGTTTGAGAAACACTGAGCTAGATCATCAGATTGGAGAAGTCTGATGGACTGGATACTTCAATCAGATTTCCCATTCCCAAGTGACTTGAATAATACTGGAGTTTGCCCAATTCATAAGTGCTTACATGACTTAAATATGTGTGGCAGCTCTTCCAGATTTATTTTACCCTATAATAAATGCACAGATGGTTCACACATTTCAGATCACATGTGTGGAACAAATATCTTATTCCTTTTCTCATAGATATCCTTTTATAAACATTTCATGCACACCCCGCATGGATGCATGGTTGGTTTTTTAAAGCCCATTAAAATCAATAGGGTTTTTTTTAAATCATCCATATGCAGAATATATGTAGACATTTATAAACAAAGGGTTGGGAGGAAGAGTTAACCCTTTCCACATGCAGTTGTCACAATATGCATCAGGCAACTTGTTCTTAAATATAGGTGGATATAAGTTGTTATGTTTCCTAACCTGTTGTGTGGTTTAACATTTATAATTTGAGAGGGATTTATGGCTTTGTGTTGCTATATCCCATTATAAATTTACTTTTAAAAGTGAAACATCTTGTCAAAATTTTGTGGAAACAGGCTGTGTAAATCAGAAAGTGCAGTCTATAATGCCCGTTGTACAAATTATGTACTTTGGCCTTAGTCTCTTGATGTAAAATTATTTTTGATGTTTAAATTCAATTTTATCAATTTGTTGAATGGGATGAAGAGAATATTGAGGCAAAAACTGATAAAATGTGTAGAATAAATACAGGATTTGCAAAAATAAGATATGTTCCAATCTGATAAACTTTGGCAGGAAGAAGACAAGAGATCAGGTTTTGCAACAAGGCTGAAGATCCACGATACATGTGTGATTGTGCTTAAAAAATTTCTGATTAGAACATTGTATAAGAGAAAAGAGTAGTTTTTGAGTGATCGACTAAAGCAGAAAAAGATTCCATTTTGATGGGCAAATTGAAAGGTGATGTCCTCATTTCTAAACACCAAAGATTCTGACTGAATTCTGTCCAGAAGTTGAGAAAATTTCTAAAAAAAATTCAAAGAACTCAAGGAGATTCACAAGGAGATGTCAGATGAGGATACACAAAAACCACAGCAGATGCAATAGGAAACTGAAAGGTATGATACTGGACAAAGTGCTAAAAGTATTGACTTTTCTAAATGTTCAGCTTGATTACTACAAATGCTTAATGTGCAACATAAATGGAGCAAATGCTCATAAAAGAAAAAAGTCATTATTTTAAAAATAAAATAAAACATAATTTGCCTACAAGAGACACATACTAGAAAAATGGGCATAACCTGTTTAACTTGTAAAAATTTGGGTGAAGATTTTGGTAGGAAGTTAAAAAAAGAAATAGAATTGTTTTGTACATAAACTTCCAACTAAAACCAAACTTGTATTGAACAATAACCACAGAAGATTTTTTATGAAGAGGGTACATGGGGCTCAGACTCTGATATTGGGAATTTATGCCTCAAATGAGGGCAAAGTGCTGTTCTATAAAGGACTTATGGACACACTAATAGGTTTTCTTATGATGGGGGATGGAATGAAGTGATCTCCCCACAAATGGAGAGGACTTCTAAGAAAATATTAAAGTCACTCAAGGCAAAATATCAAAGATTTTCTTTAATTTGATGGACAATTTGGGGTTGTCTGATATATGAAGACAGAAAAATGGCAATTCAGGAAAGTTTACATTTATGTTACTTTTCTGTAACATATAGATCCTTTTTAAAAGTAGGTATGATTTGGATTTCAGAGAATTTGGCTACCAAGGGAAATAAAACAGAATTATGAAAGCATAAACCAAACCTATGAGTTTGGTTTATAAAAGGAAGTCTAGTTGTTTTAGATGGAGATTAATGAAAAAAGCAATAATGGAGGATTGCAAAAATAAATCAAAATAATTATTTAAAAATAATTTAGATAAAGTTACTGTTTTAAAAATTATTTGGAAGTTAATTTTCAGGCAACGTAAGTATTTCTCAGCAAATTAAGCTTATACAGTGTCAGCTGTCTATGTTAACAGTAAGAGAAATGGAAATAAAAAATGAATTCTATAATGCAAAAGAAAATTGAGTTTGTACACAAGCCAAGGAAGTGAAAAGCATATAAAATACAAAAAGCAAATGTTATTTTGGAGGTGGCGCAGCAGTTAGAATGCAGTACTGCAGGCCACTTTAGCTGACTGTGTTCAGCAGGTCAGTGGTTCAAATCTCACCGGCTCAAGGTTGACTCAGCCTTCCATCCTTCCGGGGTAGGTAAAATGAGGACCCAGATTGTTGGGGGCAATGTAAATATATATATACATTGCTTACTGGTGTACACCGCTTAGAAAGTGCTTGCACTTAAAGCGGTATATAAGTCTCATTAATTAATTAATTAATTAACAGATAATGTGGCTATGCAAAAAAGCATTTCAGCAATATTATTCCAATTTGTCTAAAGGACAAGATATTTCTCTGGAGAAAGTAAAAGAATATTTAAAGAAACAAAATTTACTGAGGGATACAGCCATTTTATCCGATTGGTTGAAAACAGTTTGCAAGAATGTATTCCTGAGCAACAATGTAGATTTATGGCCCTCAGCACAAGAGGCAATTTATAGACAAGAAATAATACGCAAACACAAATGGCTAAAATATCACAATATACTAGAGTTTTGCCAAGGGAAATACAAAATAAAATCAAGAGAACAATTGGTAGCAGAAGGATATAGTTACCAATGGTTTTCTTATTTACCAGAAAGAATTAAAGTAAACAAAAGAGTTTATTGCACTGAACATAGTAATATTCAGTATGAAATAGAATTGTGTACAAATGATGAACATGTGATTGCTAAAATGTATACACTGTTATTGAAATATGAAACAGAAGAAAAACAAGTGAAAGAATTGATAAAGTGGGCTAAAAATTGTGGTTATAATATAGAGATTGAACAATGGGAAATTATGTGTTTCAAAGGATTTAAATTTACACCATGTTATGTTAAAGAAAACTTTTATCAAATGTTGTACCTTTGCACTATAGAAATTGTCTAGAATGTATAAAGGCACTTCAAATTGATATTAGAAATGTGAACGAAAAGAGTCATTTTATCATGCTTTGTGGGGATGTAAAAAAAAGTTAGAAAATTTTGAATGCAAATACTGACTCAGAGGATTTTAAAGATTATTATATAATTGAAACCAGAAGTCTTTCTCTTGGGACTGATGGACAAACGGTTGAGGGAAAAAGTCATGGAAATTGGTTTTTGTATATGATAACTTCAGTGAACTTATTATTGTATGCACAAAAATGGGAAAAAAATGGACAATACCTACACTGGATGAATGTTTGGTAAAAATGATAGAACTTGCTGAGATTGACCAAACTGACTTGTTGGATTAGAGAAAAGACAGTATCTACATTTATTGCTGACTTGAAACCTCTTGTGCAGGTTTGTATGCATAAAAGAGAAAAAAAAATGAATGTAAGGTTTTGCTGATTTTTCTTTTTCTTTCCTTCTTACACTTTTAGCTTCTCTTTGATATTTTTTTCCTTTTTCTTATTAGTTTGTACATATAGACACAGATAAGCTATGTATACTGTATATAAAAGAATAGCAATAATTATGTAGATGAATGTTATAGAAGATGATTTTGCATGCTGGCAAGAAAGTAGGGATTAAAATGAGGTTTTCCAGGTTTTTCATAAACCGATGTCACCACTTAAGATTTCAGATAGTTATTTGAGGAAGACTGAACAAAGACAGAGCATACAGGTATACACTTAAGTATTTTGTTTGGAGAAAAATATGACTTATTGATAGGAGGCTATTGCATATAAACTTGACCATAATTTGTTAGTGCAATCATATATAATGGTACCAAAGGTCTAATCCTGTTGAGTTTAATGACATATATTTTGATGCAGACAGAGATAGAACTACAAAACACATTTACATAAATGGATAACTCTCGTAAGATTTTTTTCAATGTTTAAAGAATTTCATCAAAATAATCCAAACATTTGACATTATAATACTACATTTATGGGTAACATTCCAACCAAATATGCATAGAATTACATAATTTTCACTAGGATTTGGCAATCTGCCCAATTTACTCAAGAGTTATCAAACTTAAACTCCTAGACTTTAATTTTCTTGAAATTAATTTATGGTCATATTGCCCTGTAATGTGGCATTTCTCAGTTTTGTTATATACTTTTAAATTTGCATTTAATAGTAAAAGCTCATGCCTGGGAAAAACTTTCATAGACTAAAATTCTATTGCAATGGAAAATGCTTTATTGTATTCATTGGATTCCATGTAGAAAGCATGGACAATTGAAATGATGTAAAAAAATAATTCTCCAGATATTCTAGCTGGCTTCAACTGTCTGTAATAATACAAGCCAGAACAAATGCTTCTTAATTTAGCTCATCCCAGAAGTAAATAGCAATTCTTAAAGTTGCTGTTGCCAGTAATAAATTGAATAAAAAAACAATCTCTAATCTTGTACTTTGCATGTACATTCAAGGAATGTATGTAAGCATATCTGTATCTAGTAGTCATTGATTGATTTAGACACTTAAGCTCTACACTTTTAGAGAAGATGCGTGCAATTGTACATGATCAGAGACCCTGATTATTGCAGAATGTAAACAAAGAGATTTGCACT